GACTACAATGTATTTTGCAGGATGACTACAATGTATTTTACAGGATGACTACATTGTATTTTGTAGGATGACTACAATGTATTTTACAGGATAACTACATTGTATTTTGCAGGATGACTACAATGTATTTCACAGGATGACTACAGTGTATTTTGCAGGATAGCTGGTGTATTTTACAGTATGACTACAATGTATTTTACAGAATGACTACATTGTATTTTACAGGATAACTACATTGTATTTTACAGGATGACTACTTTGTATTTTACAGGATGACTACAGTGTATTTTACAGGATGACTACAATGTATTTTACAGGATGACTATATTGTATTTTACAGGATGACTACAATGTATTTTACAGGATGACTACAGTGTATTTTACAGGATGACTACATTGTATTTTACAGAATAACTACATTGTATTTTACAGGATGACTACAATGTATTTCACAGGATAACTACAGTGTATTTTACAAAATAACTACAGTGTATTTTACAGGATGACTACAATGTATTTCACATGGTGACTACAATGTATTTTTCAGGAGTACTACATCGTATTGACTACAATGTATTTTACAGGATGACTACAATGTATTTTACAGGATGACTACAATGTATTTTACAGAACTACTACATCGTATTGACTACAATGTATTTTACAGGATGACTACAATGTATTTTACAGGATGACTACAATGTATTTTACAGGACTACTACATCGTATTGACTACATTGTATTTTACAGGACTACTATATCGTATTGACTACAATGTATTTTACAGGATGACTACAATGTATTTTCCAGAACTACTACATCGTATTGACTACATTGTATTTTACAGGACTACTACATAGTATTGACTACAATGTATTTTACAGGATGACTACAATGTTTTTTCGGTTGACTGGAAAGATGGTGCAAGTAACGTATTTTACGCCCCGTCAGCCGCCAACACTGATACAGTCGGCGCTGAAATCTATCTATTCCTTCAGTTTTTGAACTCCCAGGTTGGGCATTCCCCCAACAATATCCACCTAATTGGTTACAGTTTGGGGGCGCAGTGCGCTGGTGCTGCTGGCAAGAGAAACCCTGCTATCGCTAGAATTACAGGTAAAACACGCCATTCATCAGAATTGTCACATTTGTCTTGAGTAATCGATGCGTTTATTAATGAGTTTAGTATGCCTGCAAGCCTTATTATGACTAGATACACCAAGGCACACGTAGATGGAGATATGCTAGTACGTGAAATGCTTATTAATATCTCAATGTTTGTGACTAAATTGAAGCATATGACATTCACGATTGATGTGTTCATTACATTCGGTAACAAATGCAAATAAGTTGTGAACTATACCTGGTTAACAACGTAAAATTGCTCGTATGACAGGTTCTCCTCTTTTTCGTTATTAGCTCATAATAACGATTATGTCATGATTACACAATATTGATATATTCACTCAGTTATGTATATTAAAATGATTATCAATGTGAGGCTGATAGTAATATAAAAGTCTCTCTTTTTGTTATTATTATAGAAATCCTAATATTTGAATAACTGGGTAGTCACTCATTTTCTATAGTAGTCATTCAACCTTTGAAATGAAAATTGTGTGTCGGAGTAAATAAATACATCGTATTATTATTGTATCTGATCTTAGGAACTTTATTAGTTTTAAAGTCTTAAATAACGGGGAATGTTGGATAGCTAAACAATGTGACGTAAAATCCGTGGTTTATTTAGCTAGGCGTCATAAACCCACATTTCGTGGCCATTTGAATTGGTAATGACAGAGAGACGTTTATTGTCGTAGTTCATTTGAAATAGGCAATTACCGTCGGTTCCCACGCCATACACGTTACAATAATTGTCGATTAATCATCGTCATAAATTAAAGAATTAGGGCAATTACATTTTACAAATCACGACTATCGCATCCTCGTTCTAGGGCTGGACCCTGCCTCTCCGAGCTTTGAATCAAAGGGTAATAATGACAAGTTAGATGCCAGTGACGCCCAGTTTGTTGATGTCATACACACTGATGGTGACACCTTTACCGGTGCTGGTGGCTACGGATGCTGGGCACCGGTGAGTGAATCTACGAAATAATCATGCCTACGTATAACACTACGATCAATTACGTCACTACGTCGTCATTGTAGTGAGTGTGGGAAGAGATTCATTGCCAAGCGTGAACATCGCATCAGTAAAAATATATGTATCGCCTGAGGGCGCAAAGAAACGTTCCTTTGTGATTTGGACAAATAACACTGAGATACGTAGTAACGATAATTGAGGGGCCAATTTGGTATAAGTCGTGACACATTAGGGGATATTCAGCGTTAATTCGTCAAAATTGATTAATTTCAGAATGGCCATGTAGATTTTTACCCTAACGGCGGACAAGATCAACCGGGCTGTATTAATGTGAACACGGCGGGTGAACAGAAAGGGAATCTGAGTATCAGAAAGGAGATGGATGCGAGCGGTAATGGTAAATACGTGTAATTCATTAATAATAATAATGACTCAAACATCGCTGTGTACTTAGTTTTATTTTCTTAATTTGACATGTGGTGTTATCGTATAATATGAACACGCCCGTTTGCTTACATGTGAATCATAACGTCATCTGAGAATAATTTCTTTCATTATATTATTTAAACAAATATTAATGCATTTTCATACATTTAAAAAAAACGTAAAAAGATTTTTAAAAAATGTCATAAACGCTTCAATGCCCTTGTTAAATGTTCATAGGTTGGAATACAAAAAACATATTTCATATGGAATTTGTATAGATATCATATAATTATCAGTTACTTACGCTATTTATATGCGTGAAATATAGTAACAAACTGGGACATCATTGAAATAACCAATATTTCGCTTTTATTTATTCGACAGAAATGATATCATCACTGCTGCCTAATATTTAGCTAATGTCTTTCCTTTTCCCCCGTTTTTCAGCCGGCATGGGTTGCGACCATGGCCGAGCACCTGACTATTGGGTGGAATCTATCGGCACTGCATGCAAGTTCAACAGTTGTCCATGTACGCTAGGAGACGTGTGTACATGCAGTAGTGGTTACAATCGTATGGGGTTTCATGCATCCAAATCACCCAGCGGTATATTCTACTTGGTAACATCAAACACTAGTCCATATTGTCTCTAATCAACGCATTATACAAAGTTTTACTGCGTCCAATGTCGAAACCACAGTTTTGTTTACGCTTAATTCAGTTGATATGAATATAACATACAATATATATAGTATATATAGGCAGTGAAACTTGGAACGGAGAAGTGCTGATCACACCTGGCTAACACCTCTTATTCCACGTGCACAATGACAAATAAATAGATGCACTGAACCGAACGTGGGGGTAGTCACATTACTTTCACAATAAACCCTCACTCACCCCACCCTCACTGAACCCCACCCACCCTCTCACTCACACACACCTGTTTTAATCACAATGAGATATTACGTGAGTGACGACACCCAACGAGTGTCACAAGGCCACTCTATCACTAGATTTCGCCCTCTAGAGCCATTAGAGCAATTTCACAACGAATCCCAAAGTAGTTATTTGTGTTCGATATTAACAAACGTTCAGGTTTTTGTGTGGGTGTACTACCATGTCCAATAGTGTCTGTATAGACAGCAATCAATGTGATCCAACACACTACTGGATGGTTGGGTAAATGGATGGATGGATGGATGCACATTTTATAAAGATTTAAACACGATCTCAACACATTATCAATGTTCGAAGGATAAAAAGACGCCGTCAGATTAAATAATTATAAGCCAGGATATGACAAATTACAACACCGGTTCGACATTTATGTGTGTATTGTAAGATAACACTCTCCAAAAGGTCTTATCCATTAAAATGTTAGTATAAAATGCGTACCCTCTTATGCGTATTCAAAGCGTAATTTTGTTTCGCCTTCAAATCAGAGAACGTTATCACTTTCACTTACACCCTGTATTCCTACGTCACTCACGTTATTTTAAGAATATCGCGGGCATATTTATCGGTAATGTATAAATTAACTAAATAAAAGAAGTATTATTGCGTCAAAGCGGATGTCATTAAACGGTTCTCTACCCCTCCAAGTGTTGCACGGTGCGTGAGCGTAAATCAGTTTGTAAGATGGTCTCAAATGAAATCTCAGACATAGTCTGAGGAAACTCCGAGTGAATGAGGTTAAAGACACCGTGACTTGGGTAGAAACCTCAAATATAATACATTTCAACCCCGACACAATAGTAACTTTGCTGTTCTGGGCACATTTACACTATTCATGGCGACGGTTCATCATACCCCGGGAGGGAAGTGTCATGCAGTAATACTAAACATAATTTTGCATTGTAGAAACGTAAAACAATGTAACCGTTCTCGTTAGTATAGGGGTGAGTATGTAAATGTATGTAGCCGACTACGATGGGAAAAACACATGCCCCATTTCAATAGGCGCCCTAGGTCTTTGCCGGACAATGTTCATACCCTTGTTGATGGCGTCGCCTAAATGTCACCGGTGCGCAAATGGTCCTTCGAGTTGGTCGGACGGGAGATAATGAGTAGGCGGACTATTTTATGTATGGTGTGAACATTAACATTGAGGTTTGTAGTGATTTAGATGCCGGTTGTAATAACAAGATTCAGTTTCAATGTCATACGAACGGCACCAATTTAATAGACATTGATATGCTATAAACTACGTGGCCGTGAGACTAATGCTTAAATGTGTCGCTGTGTCCTTGTTACTGCTAATGGTTTTACTAGTAACTTTCCAGCGTTTTCAGAATGTCACAACTTATAGCTTAGAGGTTGAAAATGAAAACTCTCAAGGGGCAGGTGGTGCAAAAGCTGTGAAAATTATTTGATTAACTGCGAACTTGATTTTTTTTCAGGATGTCTGTGCAGTTTTTTGGCATTGGATTGTTCCCAAACATGACATCCAGAACACACTACCTACTCTGCTTTTACTGAAAACGGGAATACTATACGATTCCCAGGGTCCTAGTAATGGAAATCACAATCAAATCGCGCGAAAAATCCAGAGCCACATAATATAGTGCGCGTAAACATGGTTCTTCTTGCAAACATGCTGAGAAATAAAATAAGTGCAATGAATGTAAAGATATATATTTATAATATCTTCGCACGTGAGAGATTTTGCTTTTCGGCGTGGAAAGTTGAGCCTGTTGTCGGGACTATTTGTTCGATACATTATAGCCGATATATGATAGAATCGCGTGTTGATAGAACTGGGACGTGGGTGGACAGTTTTCGGTACGGTGCAAACATCGAAATTAAGAATGTGATGAGCCGCGTGTAATAACACCCGTTAATTTTAATGATATATATTGGCACCACTATGTAATAAAATGTGGTGGGAAGAATCAACTAACATGTTTGGTTCGAGTTAAGCCCGCGCTCCCATCATGTGATATGCAAGTCACCATATATGATTACGTAAGTTGTAAACCCTCACTGTACTACATTTAGTTACGTGAGTTATAACACTGTCAC